GGGGCTGCAGGGCGGCGCCGGCGGCACCGGTGTCACCAGCGGCACCAGCGTCCCCATCAGCCTCACCGTCCCCATCCCATCGCCATCATCATCACTGGCACCATCACCCCCATCGTCACCATCATCCCCGTCGTCACCAGCATCACCATCGTCACCATCATCACCATTGTCACCAGCATCACCATCGTCACCATCGTCACCATTGCCACCATCGTCGCCATAGTCACCATCGTCACCAGCATCACCATCATCACCATTATCACCAGCATCACCATCGTCCCCATCATCCCCATCGTCCCCATCGTCACCATCGTCCCCATCGTCACCATCATCCCCATCGTCACCAGCGTCACCATCATCACCATTGTCACCAGCATCACCATCGTCCCCATCATCACCATCGTCCCCATCGTCACCATCATCCCCATCGTCACCATCGTCCCCATTGTCACCATCATCACCATTGTCGCCATCACCATTATCACCATCATCACCATCATTCCCATCGTCACCATCATCACCAGCGTCCCCATTGTCCCCATCACCCCCATCGTCCCCATCGTCACCGTCGTCACCATCGTCACCATCGTCACCATTGCCACCATCGTCACCATCGTCCCCATCGTCACCATCATCACCATTGTCACCAGCATCACCATCGTCACCATTGCCACCATCGTCCCCATAGTCACCATCGTCACCATTGTCACCATCGTCCCCATCGTCACCATCATCCCCATCGTCACCATCATCACCATTGTCACCATCATCCCCATCGTCCCCATCGTCACCATCATCACCATTGTCACCATCGTCCCCATCATCACCATCGTCACCATTGTCCCCATCGTCACCAGCGTCACCAGCGTCACCATCATCACCATTGTCCCCATCATCCCCATCGTCACCATCGTCACCATCATCACCATCGTCCCCATCGTCACCATTGTCCCCATCGTCACCATCATCACCATTGTCACCAGTGTCACCACCATCGCCATCGTCCCCACCCCATCCCCATCGTCACCACCGTCACCACCATCACCATCATCACCATCATCCCCATCCCATCGCCATCATCATCGCCAGCACCATCATCCCCATCATCACCATCATAACCATTGTCACCATCATCCCCATCGTCACCATTGTCACCATCATCACCATCGTCATCACCATCGTCCCCATCATCCTCATCAACCCCATCCCATCCCCATTGTCATCACCATCCCCATCATCACCATCGTCCCCATTGTCACCATTGTCCCCATCATCACCATCATTATCACCATCATCACCATTGTCACCATCGTCACCATTGTCACCACCATCGTCCCCATCCCATCCCCATTGTCATCACCATCCCCATTGTCTCCATCATCACCATCGTCGCCATCACCATTATCACCATCATCACCATCGTCACCATCGTCACCATCGTCCCCATCGTCCCCATCGTCACCATCGTCACCAGCGTCACCATCGTCCCCATTGTCACCATCATCACCATCACCATCGTCACCATCATCACCATCATTCCCATCGTCACCATCGTCACTAGCGTCACCATTGTCCCCATCATCCCCATCGTCACCATCGTCCCCATCGTCACCATCGTCACCAGCGTCACCATCGTCCCCATTGTCACCATCATCACCATTGTCGCCATCACCATTATCACCATCATCACCATCATTCCCATCGTCACCATCATCACCAGCGTCCCCATTGTCCCCATCATCCCCATCGTCACCATCGTCACCATCATCACCAGCGTCACCATCGTCCCCATTGTCCCCATCATCCCCATCGTCCCCATCGTCCCCATCGTCACCAGCGTCACCAGCGTCCCCATTGTCACCATCATCACCATCATCACCATCATCACCATCGTCACCTCACCGTCATCCCCATCGTCACCACCATCACCATCGTCCCCATCGTCCCCATCATCCCCATCGTCACCATCGTCCCCATCGTCACCAGCGTCACCAGCGTCCCCATTGTCACCATCATCACCATCATCACCATCATCACCATCGTCACCATTGTCCCCAGCGTCCCCGCCGTCCCCATCCCTGTCCCCACATCCCCCCCGTGTCCCCCC